GAGACAACAGAGCAGTGCATTTATTGATTTACTGTATATTGCTGCTGCCACACAGATCTAAAATAAACATGAGATTTATTTCCCAGCTGTTTACCTTCACAGACATAACCCACTGTTTTTGTAACTTGTGTGTTTTTAACGTAATCTTGTGTGTGAATGAGAACTTAGTTTAGTACTCGCATGCTGTGACAGCCGCTTTCTGTGCGTGTGCTTCAGATGTGTGCGCTCAGAAAACCTTATATCTGAAGTTTAAACTCATATAGTTTAAAACCCATGATTTCAGCGCGATAAACATGATAATCAGAACAAAAACAGATGTTTTTAGCAGGTCCGAGCTGTAATGGCGCAGCTCTATTCTGGAAAAGGGGGCGGGGAGCAGCAGCTCATTTGCATTTAAAGAGACAGGCACGAAAAACATCGTGTTTCTGCTTCCACTCAAAATAGGCATTTTCAAAATGATATGATACATGATCTGTGGAGTATTTTGAGCTGAAACTTCACAGACGCATTCTGGGGACACCAGAGACTTATATTACATCTTGTAAAAAGGGGCGTAATATGTCTCCTTTAATGTCTTTGACCCACATGCAAACATGTAAATTACAGTCTGGTGCAGCTCTCCTAACCCTCTGCTCTCTGTACGTCAATCTGCAGGCAGTGATTTCATCCTGACGAGTAAAATCAAGCGCAGCGGATTGTGGAATTCACCCGTTTCTGAGGAATATCCCATCAACGCCGAAGACCAGAGTTTGGGCGCGTCTCCTCTGGAGTCAGGCGAGCGATACGAGAGCCGACGGCTGGATCTGAACACACAGCATCACGTGGAAGAAGCGTACAGACCGGCTGAGATCTCCCTGCGTGCGAATCCGTCAGCGGCGGAGAAGAGCTCACGCTGCCCTCAGTGCGGAAAGACCTTCACCACACGCTTCTACCTGAAGATCCACCAGCGCATCCACACCGGAGAGAGACCCTACACCTGCCCGCAGTGCGGAAAAGGCTTCTACTGCAACTCACACCTGATCTCACACCAGCGCTCGCACACCGGAGAGAAACCCTACAGCTGCGAGGAGTGCGGCAAGTCCTACTCGCACTTAAACTCGCTCAAACTACACCAGCGCAGCCACACCGAAGAAGAGGCGTATGCGTACTGGTGATTCATGAAATGCCACGTGACTTCGTTTGACATTCGGCACATATTTTATATGATAAATTATAAAATAACATTGCTTTGAGTTTGATACACTGCCTTTTTTTGAGTAGCTGGTTAACATTACTTTTATATTGTTAAACATCGACTGATACATTAAATGCATTTCATTTATATATAAATACATTTTTCATTTTATGACCTGTAAAACCTGTGCTATGTTGTTTAGCCATATTTTATTAGTTTGTATGGATTATTTAATGTGGGAGCATCATTTTGCGATTGACAATAAAATCCCATGACTTTCTGATGGAAATACTTCTTGGGTGATTTAAAGCGAGTTATGATCACAGACGGCGTTTTGCTGTAATTTACACTGGTGTGTGTTGCAGGAATGTGTGTGTGTTTGAATGTGGTTTGATCCAAAGCTTCATGTAGATCATGTCACAGGAGATCAACTCAGTAAGGCTCTCTAGTAAATGTTAGAGAGGAAAGAATTTAAATAAATAAAATAATATAGAGATGCTCAGACTAACCAGTAATAGTGAATAACCCAATAATAAATAAATGTTTTAATTAAATCAAAGTTCATACAGAGATGCTCAAACAACAGTTCTGTTTTATTTAAAAAAAAATATATATATATAATATAAAATTATTTTAAAAAATTCAAAATAAAATTGAATATAGAGATGCTCAAACTAACAACAGCAGTATGTCCAATAATAAATAACCAAATATTAAATAAATAAAACTTAACATAGAGATGCTCAAACAACAGTACTATGTTTAATTAAAAAAATTATAATAAAAAAACAATTAAAATAAAATTGAATAGTAGTATGTAAATAAATAACACTTAACATAGAGATACTCAAACAACAGTACTGTTCAATAATAAATAATCACATCATAAATAAAATTAATATAGAGATGCTCAAACTAACAACAGTATTATGTCCAGTAATAAATTAATAATCCGACAAAACGGATAATTTCTTGAACTTCCGCTGCCCGCGTGACTTTTATTTTGCCGGATGCTTCCCCAAAGTTCCGGTCCACCGGAAGCACGCCTCACCTGCAGCGGTGTATGATGTTGTGCTTCTCTAGTAACAGAGCAGCGGAGTGTGTGAGCAGCGAGATGAGGTCTGCGGCGTTACAGGCGCAGGTCTCCGCGATCATCGACGTGCTGGCGAAGGCGGCGGTGGCGGAGATCAGTCAGCTGCTGGAGGAAGAGGCGGCTGCTCTTCATCAGGAGATCCGGAGGAGGAACGAGGAGATCCGGGGACTGAAGACGCGGCTGCTGCTCACCGAGACCGAGCTCCAGAGAGTCACTGCAGACAGATGCTGCGCCGGAGACACTGCTGAGCCTGCTGGCCTGCTGGGTGTGTGTTTGGTCTATATATATATATTGTGTTTAAATCTTTTTTAAATCATTTTATTATATACATGTTTATATATATATATATAATTGTATGTATGTATGTATGTATGTATGTCTGTGTGTATGTCTGTGTGTGTATGTCTGTGTGTATGTCTGTGTGTGTGTGTGTCTGTCTCTCTGTGTCTCTGTGTCTCTGTGTCTGTGTCTCTGTGTCTGTGTCTCTGTGTCTCTGTGTCTGTGTCTCTGTGTCTGTGTCTCTGTGTCT